CATATACTCATCCATAGGTGGAACATAGCCCTCTTTGCACCACTTGGCTTCATCAAAGTAAACCTTCACTAATTTCTTCATCTATTGGTGAAATTAAGTTACATACATGAAAATAAGAAAGAATTCAAAATCCCCAAAACATGAGTTAAATCATTCATTTGCCAATTAGTTACTTACCGATTCTTTCCCATAATCCACAGCATATGATCTTCCTTCTTTTGTAACCTCTGCTTCCATTTCACCATAAACATCTAACAGTGACTGATAAACCAATTTCATATATTCTGGAAGTTGATCTATGACACTAATGTCCCACCTAAAGGTCAAGGAATCAAAATTATGAGTATCAATTTTGAAATATATAAATATATTCCTATAATTTGACTAATATGACCTAGTTTAAAGATGAGAATTTAACCTTTCAATACACTTGGTCAAGACCTCAAGTTCTTCATATGTCCCATAGTTATCATATGTATCATCCAAGATGGATGTCATGGCTATTATTTTAGTTAGAAATGTCCTTGCTAAAGAGTATTTGGGTTCAAAGTAAGCTCCCATTATCCAAAAAAAGCACTCCACAATTCTGTCCCTTGCATAGGGCAGCTTTGTTGCAACATCTAGTTTTTCCCACCACCTGAAAACCAAGCAAAATTCGAAGCCTAAGATAGTAAACCACCGTCATTAAAAGTTTACTGAAGAACCAAAAAATGAAAAAAAGGTCAAACATACTCAACAATTCCTTTTAGCTCTTCTAGATGAAATGCTTGGACCATGTTGTAATCTATCTTTGCAAATTTAAGTAGTGCTGCATTAGAGGAAACAAAATTGTTGTCTCTAGAGTACAAAGAGATGTAATGCCTCGCTTCAATCCTTGGCAAACCTTTTCGAATGGGGCGGTTCAAGGCATGGGCTATTTGTTCTGCAAGCAAAGGGCTTACTTTTGTTGCCATTGATTCAAGGCAAGAGGTAGTAAAAGCAAGAGCTTCATCCAGGATGTCTTCTCCACGAAGGCGAAGATGTGCAGCCTCATATAGATTCAACATTCCAAGCACATCATTTACTAAATCTTCCTTGAATTTTCCCTTCACATCCATGAATTTCTTAAATATCTCTGCATCAATATATAGCAATAAACCATGAGTGCAACTAACTAAAAATTAACCCACATCATTGTCCATAAACACAATCTTTTATTAGATGTTAAACCATCTTTTGGATGTTAAGAAAAAGAACTGACCAGATGGAACTTTAATTCCTTGTTGTCTAAGTAATCGAAACCAAACAGCAATCGTCTGAAGATCAGTTTTAACATGATCAACACCACCAAGATGTATCTTCTCTAAGGCATGGTCGATTTCTATCTCAAAATGGTAAGCAATGCCTAACCGTTGAGCCGCATCTATTAAATGCAATTTCTTTGAAGGATCAATGGTGGTAGCATCAGTCAACATCCTCCTTACTTGTTGTTTCAGCTTTTCATGTTCTTCTTGGGTTCTAGGTTCGATATTCTGCAAAATCATTCCAAAACAAAACATTAAATATTTCTTAGCAATTGAATTTTTTGGTGTAGCCTAATGCGATAGTGATAGCTTAATACCCCAAAGAAACAGTAGCGATGAGGGTAAATATATATGTGGCTTAATAATTCATGCATTCGGGGCAGGATATTTCGTTAGATAATAAAAAAGCATGTGTGGTGATACATGCATGACCAAGACACAAACACTCAACTTTTGAAACTAAAGTACGTAAGGTACGATGAAAAGTCAAAATGCAAAACTTAATTATGAATTCATAGTAGAATACAAAAAGTAACTGGAGTAGTATGAAATACCGTGGAATTGGAAGAATGTCGGAGGAAATAATCCTTCCAAAGGCTAGGGTGATAACTAGACGTGGATCGATGGACATTTTTGCAGGTTGTATTTTGAGGTGCGGAGGGAAGGGCCAAGGGTTGAGCTGACATTTTTCTGCTATGTATGAAAAGGGGAATAGCTAATCGAAGGCTTTCGTGCTGGAAAGTGCTTTAGAGCGTCGGTATTTATACACTTGAGGAGCATACAGTAACCCCGGCAACAGTCAACTATCAGCGCGCCCGTTAAGGGGAAAAAGTCGTCATCGCTATTATCACGATTCTGTGGGGTACTCCAAAGTCGAAGCCGTGCGGATGCCGTGACACAAAAGCTGTAGCCTTGTGGATATTTTCCAGAAGGCCAGGGCTTATCAGCTCCTAAACTTGCCGTTTGTGGATAATTTGTCCTCGAACTTTTTCTTCTGGAAGATCAACCCTTGCCGTTTGTTGCCATCATCTTTACCTCCAAACTTGACTACACACGAGTTCTAAGGACCCATAATGAGCTGGACCCTACGTGGCCTTCCATTCAGACTCTTTTAATTATTTTTTTATTAGTTGACAAATAAAAAATTATTAGAAAAATGAGTATTAGTGTGTATTACAAAAAAATTAAATAAAAAAAATCTCAAAATTAC